TCTAAAAGAGATTAGAACAAGTGATGCAAGGCACTCTCTACTACTTGGACCAGGAACCACAGGTTGCTGTCTGGAGCAGATGACTTTAGTATGTATATTCAGGATCATCCCAGAAGGGAGGCAGACAGGTCCGGACTATGTGTGTGCCAGAGTGCAGGTAAAAAGATTTTACATTAACCATCTTTCTAAGATCTCTCATCTAGATAGTGGAAAACATGTACATATGTTTATTTTGAGGGTGGGATGAGACACTTCTACAGAAATCAGTGACATTGCATTTGTTTTGGTTTTCCCCATAGCGACCACAGATTATCTCTTCTGGCAGCTCATGTCTTTTCTTGAGGCTTCCCAGAATATTGACCTACTGCACTCCTCTTCAGCCATCTTCATAGTGCAAGAGGAACTTCCCGAAGAAATGAATCACAGGACAGTTGAAATCTTTCAGCTCGCTGTTGCAAAAGCCTTCTGATTCAGTTTGGTCCCCTTTTCCTCTAGATGGCATGCCCTCTTGATTGTGCTGAGGACATGAACTAATTTGAACTCCATACTGCTTATGTTCAAGGAATACAGTAGTTCCTTGTGCTGTTACAGTCTTGATTTTCTATGAACATTCATGCCTATGTTTACTTCTTATCTTTTACTGCCGATGGGATTTACAGTGCTAATGATGTTGATTCTGCCATCACAGCAACTTGGAATTAAGATTAAAAAGTGCTCTGTTTGTTTTCAGGATTATCATCTATTTTTCTTATTCTTCTTGTTATGGTGACAATTCCTATAAGCTAAAACTGCTGTTTTTCCATCCCCTTCATACACGCAATGCTAGCTAGACAGGCCTTTTTAACCTCTTACAAAGTGATGCAGTCCTTTGCTCTTGTGTCTTTTTTTTTGTCCTAGAGACTGAACAATCTGTTTGCTTGGGTTGGGGTTGTGTCTGGGTATATTTTCTGACTCTCAGCTCTGCCTGCTTTGTTGTAACTTTTCTTGTCACATTTTGAATTCTTTTTGACTGGAAATCTGAATTCTTTTGCACAGTTTCACCAGCATGAGCAGATTGAATGATTTCCTTTGCTTGCTACATTCCAATCACATGATTAAGCTTAATTATAGTTGCTCTCAGAGTCATCACATGTTTCTAACCTCAGATCCTACCAGACAGCCAACACCCCAGCATTACAGGAGTGATTCTTCACCCCTCCATCAGCCACAAGTTTTTCTCAGTTTTCCCTGTGTTGCTGGATAGATCCTATGTGAATCATTTCAGCTGTCTCAAGTTTTGTAGAAATTTTAACTCTAGTAATATTCTGATGTGCTGCATTCTACTTTTTCAGTTATTTTTTACTAATTTGCATTTACAAAGGTTTCAGAGCCAAGGAAGGAACTGAGACCTGTTTCTCCTTAGTACCTGAATCCTAACCAGCTGGCACTGAGAGAACACAAGTCTCTGCATAATGTAGCAACTAATCCCAATGCACACTTGGCAGAATATATTAAAAATGCCAACCTAGGTGTTTAGGGTTTGGAAGGCAGCTCAGCATCAGTCCTCTGTACACTGCAGAAAACATCTGTTTGCACATCTTTCAGCTAGAGTGTGATAAACACTGACCAGTGGTGGAACCTAATTCTTAGGTATAATTGCCTTTAGCCTTGGTGAGAGTTTGTGCTGCCATACCAAATGCAAATTACATAGAATAATCTATTTGTGGAAAAGTAACTATTCTCCATTAGAATGGCCAGCTTTTTGTGTTGTTTCATTCAAATAATGTAATTTTATTATTTGCTTATATTATAAGGTTACTATAAACTTGTATTAGTGGGTAGCTCTAAATCCCATTTATTCCTTTTTATCTTACTTGGCTCATATAAAGTTAGGTCATTTAAAACCTGGCTTTATCCCTCCCAGCATTAGATATTTAACTAAAACACTAGATACTTAACTGAATCATGCAGCTTGTCACCTCTGGGTCCTTCTAGAGTCAATGAAGAGAGACAAAGTAACTTTCATGTAGAAACTGAGATCTTAAAATTAATTTCTATAACTCCCACTTTCACATGAGAAACGCCTATGGCAACTGTACTTCTTACATAGTCACCTTTACTTAGAAGAGAAATTTCAGTTTTTATTCAGACTCCAAAGCTTATCTGATAGTTCTTTAAACAGTGCATGTGTAAAGTCACTAAATGGGAATGGTACAGATTAGGTATTTCTTAGATGTAAACTATGTTTCTTTTGCTCAGATCAGAATTGTTACCATTTTCAATAAGGAGGATATGTTTTTGTTGTGTAAGCATACACATGTATTGGAAAGGAATGGTTTTACAATGGAGACTTGAGCTTTCTGGCTAATGATCTACTCTATCAGAGTCCCACATAAAATAAAGACAAAACAATTTATATTAGCCTAAAGTCATAAAAATATTTTTGGGAGACAAGTGTTTCTCTTTATATGTGAACTGCCTGCCAGGAAAGTCAGTGCAGGTATTCTGCCTTTAAGATTTCACATGAAGCAGGTCTCAGCTGAATATGGGTTGCAGATGATTTAACATTTTATTTGTAAAAGAGCTTTAGCAAGATTTGTATACCTTTACGGGATCAAGATGAGTTCCCTTTGTACTTTGTACCAACAAAACAAAGACGTCATTAATGTAACACAAAAATCATTAAGCATATATTGCCAAATCTGATTAAAATGTGTGTGTTTCTTACCTTCCGTGCTTGTGGACTGTAGAAATGTGAAGTAATTTTTCGTTTTTCGTGTCCCCTTCACCCAGCTCTATAACTCATACCCACGCAAACAAAACACTCATAAGTTAAAAATGAAATCTATTTACTCTATCAGGCTGGAAAAACAAACAAACAAACAAACAAACAAACAAAAACAACCACCACCAAACAAAAAACAACCAACAACAAAACCAAACCAAACTAAAAAAAAAAAAACAACCAAAAACAAAAACAAAGTACATTATCTTTCATCTTCTTATGGATTTTGTTAATGCTTAAATATAGTATTTTAGAAGGTTTTGGTCACCTTATTCATATAAAGCACTGACCTGAATTTCATCTGTTCATGAGTTTAAAAAAGGATTCAAAACTGCATGCATGTACTTTTTGTGTGCTTTTATAGATGTAGATGACATAATATATGATCAACCTGGCACTCATCTCAGCTTGCTCAATTGACTGAGCTTTTTCCTAATCCCGTAACACCTTTCACTGAGAAAGAAGAAAGATTAATTTACTTTTAAAAAATAATGTTTATGAACCCAAGGATTAAGATTAATGGTTTAAAATATTATGTCCTTGTTAGAGAAATCCAAACATACCTAATTGCCATACTAAGATAAATAAGTGTACACTAGTACATGTATCTCTGTACGGAGGTATTTAAAACAAAGAATTGAACCTTACATAACATTCACTGTCTAAAAGATCTAATTTCCTCTCCAGATTCTGACCTGAAATGACACCTGTGGCCATTGTATGCTTCTGTTCTAAAACCACTGATAGTCTTTTGGGGCACCATCATCATCTTGATGTACCTATTACAATAGCAAATACTGTAAGTGCATTCATTATTTTATGAAGAAAGTATTTTTATGTATTATGTAGACACAAGATAAAAACAAAAAGTATTTGAGAGCATGTAGTACAGTGCATGGATGGAAGTAATACTGTGTTTTTTCTTCATGTCGCCCTTCTTACTTCCAATTTGACCTACTGTATTTACTTAATATAACCATTTTGGATTTGGGAATTTACCCTGAGTATTTTTTTCCATCATTTCACATGGACCTTTCTATACTGCTAAAAATTCTCCATGCTTTCCTTGTTTTTCCAGTCTCCCAGACTCGTTAACCAATTACAGTTGGGATCAAGGCCAAAACCAGCCAAGTATCACACTGAGATTATCTCAAGTGGCACCTTAGTTAAATTGCTGAATAATCTTTTCTCTAGGGTTCAGATAAACGTCGGTTGAGTTTTCTTATACTTTATGCCTTCCTTTTTTGACTTACTGTTCATATTCTTTTCTTTCTACAAAGCTTCCTAGAGAAGGTTAGTTGGAGTCCTACCTCAGCTACGTAACTACGAACTGGAATAGCCCCCTTCTTTCACAACCTTTCTCTGAATAAAACTAGAAGGTAAATTAGGTTATGGTCTCTGTATAGCTCGCCCTCAAATCACTGAAAGCAACAGTTTCAGCAGATTCTGGGATGAGCTCTCATTTTATTTTGCAGTGGCTCTGGACTATTTTACACTTCATAACAAGAAAAACAATTTTTTTTTTGCAGTTCGTCTAGTTGAAAGACTTTATCAACAGTCAGTCTTGAGCTTCTATGAAATATTGCAAAACAGAAAACCATGACTTGGGAAGACCTGACAAGAAACCAGGTTAAACTGGTCCTCCCTAAGAAAATGTTTCTTTCTCCTGGCTGCTTAAATGAAGAAGAGGCTTTTTCTTCTCTAAAGCAATTCATTCTTCTCCCTTACTGTCAGTTAACTGCTGATGAAATATTTTTAATAAAAGAAAATCTTATCTCAAGAATTTTAATCTTAAAACAAGCAGGAAAACTCAGCCAATTTTCCCACTGCACAAATACAAATAAAAGTAAAATAGACTACAGATGAAAATGTAAAATGACAGCAAAAGAAGCTATTGCACTGTCTTTCATGCTATGAAGCAGAACAAATTACTGACATCCATTTCTTAATCTACATTTATTTTCCTGATTCACTTAAGAAACTATAGCAATGAATTCTCTTAAGTTGTTAAAATGTGATTTTTCCTGCTAGTTCATTTAGTACTGTACCTCACATGAACTGTTTTGAGTTGAAGTGTTCTTATCTGGCTGTTGCTGGAGATGTAGCTGTTCTCAAGAGTTGAAGAAGATAACTGTGTTTACAAAAGCCAGTTTCAAGAACATGCATTACAAAGAAAGTTGTATATTGATATATTATCAATACTGACGCGGCCACACACTGTCACAGTACCAGTAAGTCATTGTAACCAAGCTTTTAATGTCATTTATAAAAAAATAAAGTTATTTACATTTGCAACTTATTTGATGGCATCCTCTTTTATTACAGCCTTTGAATCAGTGAAGAAATGTCACCAGAACTCATTTGAGGATAAACTTTTCAAACATAAGCATGACAGTACAGGAAAAAAAAGTTTAAGACATTGTAAATTCTTGTTACTTTGCAGCAGCATAGAAACTCACCCTTTACAACACATGCACCCTGCCCTTATGGTAAGCAGAATTCCATTCTGGATTAAGAAGAGGAAACTGCCACATTTCTAGGGATAGTTCCATACTCTTACATGTGGCAATTCAAGACATAACCAAAGGAATTATTTTAGTTCCAATGGACAGAATGTAGCCACTTAACACTTTTATTTAAGAAAACTCTGGGTAAAAGGACAAAAAAAAAAAAAAGTATGACTATACTTACTGCATAGTTGCAGTAAATTAGATCCATGAATACAAAAGCCATCAAAATATATTATACATCTGAGTTTCAAAGCTACTTTAAAATACTGCTTTGCTTTAGAATACAAATAATACTGTTTGGGGTTAGTTTGTAGAGTTGCATTTTGGTCCATGCTGTTAATTCTATATTGTTATATTCTTCTTCCATTAGTTCAAGAGCCTCAGAACAACAGGTCCTCAGGCAGTGGCAAGAATGATGAAGCCAAATCTCAGGCTTCAGCTGCTGCAGTCAGTTCATAAAAACTCTAATTTCAACCACCTCCCTTTACTGCTTTAAATAAACTTCCCTTAGAACTCTAAGGGAAAAGAATGTCAGGGACACGGATTTAACACTGTTAGAGATGGGGGTTTGTCCCCATCTAATCTTGAGCCGATAAATCACAGCTCTTAAGAATATCCAGTCCATACAAAGGAAAAAAAAGAAGGATCATCAGCAACAACAACAGAAAGAAAACAATTTACTGTGACTATGCGGTAGTTCCACATAATCTGCTGGCAGTAGAAACTTCTTTGCTGTCAGAGTCGGGTCTTCCTGAAACCACAAATGGCCAAGTCTGTAACCAAAAAAAAAGGTATTTCATATTAAAAAGAACGTTTATCCTGGTATGAAACTGGAGCTTTGTTACTGATAGATGTCTAACTCTGGCTCAGCTGCAAATACGTCACCGTGTTTTAGTCCCTGTGGGAAACACAGAGAGAGCGGAGTTCCTCTAACAATTTTTTTTTTCATTATGTTTTTCATTGTAATTAAATGCTCTGCAACAGGACTGCCATGATCAGCAACAAATCGTTCTTACAAAAAATGCAACCATTCCCTTGCTTTGCAACTGTTTGCATCATTTTATAAACAAAAAGCACATAACGTATCAAACCCCAAACACTCTGAACCACATAGGCAACCGTTTTACCCCTGTGGCACGCATCAGGCACTAATTCTGTACCGATGAACTGATGACGGCGTGCCTGTGCTCCAAGCCAGCCCTCAGAGCAATTACTCCTTTTTCGGACATTAAGCTTGCCTAATGCCCGAGGAATTTATTTCTTTAGGGTCCCCTACGCCGTCTCCCCAGCACAGACACACCCGCCATCACCCTAAAACAGACCCGCCTCTCGGGTCTGGGACGAGGATTATATGGATTTGCGAAACAGTCAGGGCCGCCCCGCGGCTCCTTCCCTGGTGGGCACGGCCCGGCGGCACTGCCCCGGGAGGTGCTCTGCGGAGTGTCCCGAGGCCTCCCCCCTTAACCCCCAGGGGCCCCTCGCTGCTCATTCCGAAGGCGCCGGAGCCGTGCCCGCCTGCGCGCCCCTCCGCATCGTACCAGGTTGACGGGGTGAACGTAGCCGTTTTCGTAGCGGTCCTCCTGCAGGAGCTGCCGGAGGTGGGCGATGTAGCTTGACGCTAGGCGCAGAGTGTCCAGCTTGGAGAGCTTGGTGTCGGGCGGCACCCAGGGCAGGCTTGTCTTCAGCCGGGAGAACGCCTTGCTCAGCACCCGCATCCGCGCCCGCTCCCGCGCGTTGGCGGCGTTGCGCTGGGACTGCTTCCCCTCGGGCGGCAACCCCCGCGGCCCCGACACCGCCTTCTTGCCCCCGGGGCAGCCGCCCCGCGCCCGCTTCCTCTTGCAGCCGCTGCCCGCCGGCCCCGCCGAACAGCTGCCCTCTCCATCCTCCTCCTCCTCGTCTTCCTCTTCCTCCTCCTCCTCCGCCGCAGAGGAGTTGTCCCCCGAGGGGTAGAGCTCGCCGCGGGGCTGACGCTTGGCCGGCGGCGGGTAGTCCAGCTGCAGCCCCCGCAGGTCCATATCGGGCAGCTCGTCCGCCTCGCTCCCGGAGCCCGCGGACATCGCCCCGGGAAGGAGGCAGGGAGGCGGGCGGTCCGGAGGGGGCGGACGGCCAAGGCGCGCCGGGGAGTCGGCTCAGCGCCGGTGCCGGCGGGGAAGGGGGGGTGCGGCGGGTGCGCGGAGGGGGATGCGCCCCTCGACAGCGCTATATATCTGGGTGTCCGCGGAGCGAACCATCTGCCGGGCGGAGCGGGGGAGTGGGGGCACAGAGGAGGGGTAGGACCCGGCGGATCCTCGAGCTGGGGGCGGCGCTTCTCCGCGCTGGCCCGCGAAGACGAACCTGTATGGAGGGGACGGGGATGTCTCCAGGTGTATGTGTGCTTTGGTGAATAACGCCGCCATGCGAATGAGCGCTTTCTCACCGCGACAGATCCCGCTCCTCACCCTGGAGGGCGGAAAATACTCACGGGGCTCATCCCACGACCGCTTTTGCAGGGAGAGGGGCACCGCTTGCCCAGCGGCTGGGGCTGGGCTAAGGCTAAACGCAGCCTGGGGCTCTGCCAACCCCAACCCACCTGCAAGCCCTTCCCCTCTTGCCTTTCCTTCTGGTCGGGGGATTTTTCCAGCTCACACAACCTCGCAGCCGAGTGGTGCGGCAGGACAGAGCCAGGTCTTCCCCACCCGCCCTGCTCCGAGCGGTGCCGGTGTTCCTCCACCGGAGAGGGCAGGGACAGCGGGGTCGCGGCACCCCGAGGTGGGTGGGTGGTTTGTGGGGATCAGTGCGAAAAGTGATTGGAAACGCGCGGGCTGTGTTTTGGTGGTGTAAGTAGCTTTGGGAGAAGCTACAGGCAGTAGAGTGTCCGAAGGGTTCTCCTTCCTCAGAGCAGTTAGTTAAAAGCCAGTTAATTGGGCTGCGTAGGTAGGTCTGTGTCACAAAACAAATAAAACAAGATAATTTTTTCAGGTATTTGCGGGTTGTTTTCCGTAACAAGTTCCATACTACAGCTTTTATGGAGTTCACGGGAAAGTGGGGAAAAGCATCCACTGGAAATGATTATATGCAAAGTAATAGGGGTTATCAATAAATAAACAGACAATTTGTGTCCCTTTCATGCCCGAAAAGATCCATTCTTTCCGAGATGAATGACTACAGTCTGGTTCCTCGCTGGCCTTCACGGCCCTGCCTGGGCACAGTTAACCAGGATAAAACTCCACTTCGCAGAAAAGAACCTAATGACTACAGCAGGTGGAAAGAACTTTTCCCTCAGTTTTTGCTCCCGGGGTTTTCCCTTCCATTTCTCAATCCCGGCCGAGTGGAACCTTCCCGGCTGCTGCAGCACAACTTTCCTGGCACCGTCGGCCGCCTTTTCGCCCAGCGCTTTACTTTTCCTTCCCCGCCAGCCCTGTGGTGTTACCGAGAGCCACTTAACGCTATGTAAACCTCGGCTTCACCCGCTGGGGCTACAACCACATCAGAGCAGGGTTTAACAACGACCTTTCCAAGTGAAACTTGACATTTCTTGAACCACCGAAACAGGCAGCTGATCTTGCAACTGGATCTCTTGAACTTGGTTTGACACTGCGATGCTCTGGCTGGGTCCCGCAGGCTCTGCGGTGAAAGGGCAGCGCTCTGGGCTTCGGGCTTCGGGGTTGCTCTGCCTCCCCAGTTAGCCTGCATTATCCCTACAAATATATATATATATATATATAAAGATACTGGAAGGGAAGAGATATAGGTTTACTTTTTCCACCCATCTGAGTTGTTTATACAGGTGCGGGCTGAACGCTTTCCCTGCTAAAGATTAATGGGAGAAAGTGCAGAATTTCTTTAAACAAAGAATAAAATGTTACCCAGTCTGAAAGCCGCAATGGCAAATCTCACCTTTCGCGCCTACTTCTGCCTCGGTGAATTAAAGGTGACGCATAATGGATACTTCGCCTCATTTAAGGAAAGGATTGGGGATGGAGGGGACGGAAGGGAGGGGAAATAGCCAAATTCCCAGGTCGTCCTTGCCTGCTTCTTAGTTAGTAAAGGAAATGGGAAGTGCAAAGGAGTAAATCCGGATTGAGCCTCAGGGGTTACTTCGGATTTACACCCAACGAAAGTGAGCAGACCTGACTTCTCTTGCATCCAGCAAATTGCTGCGTCCCTGACGAAGATATCATTTTCAGGATGAAGCCTTTAATGGGGCCAGGGCATTACATCATGCTTCCATTTGTCAAGACTTTTATCCTTTCTGCTCTCTGTGTGCTGAGTAGGGAAATTATCCCTGGTATACCCGGGCAGCATTTTACGCCCGTTATCAGGTACGGTGCCTTTCCTGTTTCCCTGTTAAAGGGTAAACCTCAGATGTGATCCATGCCCGGAATCCAAGGCAGCATCCTCCCGGGTTTCAGGGTCCGCCTCTGGGTGCTGTGTGCGGTGCTGGTGCAGCAAAACCCGGCATGTGTGTGAGGGGAAGGAACAGGAGCTAAACCAGCTCCTGCCTGGGAAGGAGCTGCAGAGAGGGCCTGCAGGGAGCTCGGCCACCGCTGTTGGCCCTGAGGCTACAAAAATCAGATTCTCTTTGCTGAGGGGAGATCCCCGGTTTGGGGATGCGCACTGCTACGGAGCGGTTTCCCTTACGCTTTTCCAGAAGGCATTGTCGTAAATAAATGTAACCAAACAACCCGAGCATAGAGTATTCCGTGCAAACCAGGGTTCTTCATCTTTGCAGAGGATGAGGGTGTTTCGTGCAGCGTCTGGGGACCGGGGAGGGACGGCGCGGCCCCGGGCAGGGTGGAGAGCAGATACCCGAGAGGTATCTGGGATGAGGCAGAGGGGTAGAACCCTTTGATTTTTTTTCTTGAAGTTTAAGAATAAATTATAGAAAAAAAAAAACAACCAAACAAACAAACAAAAAACCCACAACCAAACAAAAAACACCCAGAGGCCAAGTCTGTAACATGCAGGTTATCACCGAGGGTAGGAGGGGGAACTGTTAAAAGCCCCATGTCCTTCGCATTCTGGGGTGTTGGCAGTGACAAAGCAGGGTGGAGGAGGAGGGAGATGATGTGTACTCCATAAAGTGCTTTAAATAAGGCTTTCCTATGGCATTTGTCCTTTCTTCGAACTCGGCAGCGTTACTGAGTCACTTCTCTCCGACCTAAAAGCGCACTTAACACTTTTGGGGAAAGACCTCAGTGTAACAAGGGCAGGTTTATCCATTATATTCATTTTGTCGCAGTGGTAAGGAAGGCAGGATGTCCGGAGGAGGGGAGGACAGCCTCTGGCAAACGGCTCAGTCTTGATCTCTCCATGAGCGCCTACAGCACACAGACAGGCTGAGTGGAAGGCTGGCAGGACTTCTGCCACGAAAGGGATGGATGCTCGGCATTGCTGGTCCTGTAGCAAAGGCAGGTGGATGAATTATGACCTTTGCTCTAGGTGGTTAGAAGCCATCTAGAACAAATGCGCCTTTGCATGGCTCTGTATACCCGGTAAAGGCACCTGGTGAAGGGAGAGGTGTGCGGTGTCCCTTATTCTTCCCTCCTAATCCTGCCTGCATAAGCTGCCCGTACCAGGACCGCTGCTCGCTGCAGCCCGTGCCGCATTGCCCTGTCCTTAACCAGAGATCTGGCCCGGGGCGAGGCACCGCCAAAGGATGCCTTTTCCTGTTATCGGTTCCCAAGGTGGCAGCGCCGTGGTACCGGTGTCTCGGTGCCCCGGCAGCCATCTACCTGGGGATGCTCTTTGTAAGCTCCCCGGGGTCTTAGGGACAGGGGTCCTGAAAGCATCGCGGTGGGTGCAGGAACCTCCAGTCCGAGCGGTTATTGGAAATGACTGTTTGTGTGTGTTTTTTGGGGGGGCGGGCTTGCCAAAAAAAGTGTCTTTCCACCATGTAAGAAAATGAGAAAATACTCAGTGGGTCAAGCCATGTCAAATAAAGCAAACAGGAGACAAATGAACCCCCGGAAGGAAAATAAAGTTATAAAAAGGTACTTAATAGGATTTAGTTTGCATAGTAAGTGCGAAGGCACTAAGCCCCCATCAAGGGACACACCCTCAGTGATTCAGTTGGATATGGGACTTCAGCCAGGGGTTAAAACCCTCCTCTGCCACGGCCGACACCAGCTCGCTGGCCAGAGCTGCCCCCCTCCTCTCCCCCGGGAGGGGGCCGGGAGCTCTCCCGGTGTGGCCCCTGCAGCGCTCTCCCTGCTGCTGGGGAAAGGCAGGGCTTGGGCGACAGTCGGCCCGGAAGAGGCAGCTCTGGGATCCGGGAGGAGAAAGCACCTTCTCCTGCAGCAGGGTTGGCTGTATTCCCAGGCGGGGTGGGTCGGAGGGTTTTGTGCTCCTCCCCCAGAGACCCTGAGCGTGAGCGGGGTCATGCTTGTAAAATACAATAATAATAGTAATAATGATAATATCCCCAAAGCTACAGGTTTGTCCTTCGAGCCGCTAATTTGCCGAAAGGGGATCCTGCCCCGCAGCACAGGGAAAGAACATCTTCCCGGAGAAAAGAAATCGGTCCTTGTTATTTACTCTTTTCCCCACATTTCCAGTGCAATAACAACAGCGAGACATTATCAGCTGTTAAGGATCGCTGCTTTCCCGGAGTTTGTCCAGTAGAGTTTTGTTCAGGTATTCCCAACTTTCAGCAGGGTTTCCCCTGTGGAATAGCCAGGCAAACTCTCTAAATACCTCCTGGCGCCAGAAGAAAGTTCTCATGTAATGGATACCTGCTGGTGTGAGAACACGGATTCTGCTCACTTTGTCAATCAGCCGTGGGCGGGTGTGAGCTTGTGTTTGAGGAGAGGGAGATGGGGATTTCTTTTAATTAAAAAAGAGAAGTATTTTTCACTAATTCCATTGTTTCTTAATGATACTTGGAGATGTGCTCTTGGCCTAAAAGGACTAGAATTAATGCTGTTTAAAGCATAGTTTATTTCTTCCATTGGAGCCAATTAGCTGGAATAACAAGCAAACATCAGGCAAAAGGAACACTGTGTTAGTCTCCTTGTGTTTCACTCTGAGAGGGAAGACCATCAGAGCAAGACGGAAGAGATGGTGAGAGAGCACCACTGCATCACTTCATTATACTTGAACGCTCCAGCACACTTACTGGCTTTGGCTGGGCTACAGCAGAGCAGACAGGGAGTGCAGCTTCCCCAGGAACTACTAGCAAGGTCAGTGGGGGCTCTCAGACGGGGACACAGCCAGTGAGACAGCTCGTGGTCAGCAGGAAAACACTGCCCAGGGTTGTCCA